GCCCTTTCTTGTAGTGTACTGGCTGTAAGCAAGGCAAGAATTCACCCAAACCACTGAGGCTATCACTCTCCTGTGTAGTGGCTATTAAACGACACCCACTTCCATCTCAGACAAACTTTCAATAAATAACCAGCCTAATTATTGCATACAAACCTTCTAATGGCAAAAGGCCAGCTCAGGGTTTCTGCTACAGAGAGTTCAAACAGAAAATAATTCAAGGAAGTCCTATGACCTGCTGGAGGTCAGACTAGATCAGTGATGCTCAGACCTCAGTGCTTCAGGAGCCAAATTAGTGACCAACATTACCCAAAAAAGCCACAATAGTGGGAATTCATTGTTTTATATACATATATTTCTTACAGCAAAATGACTGACCAAGTATTATTATTTTTATCAACTACAATTGATTAATAACATAGTAAAAGCATCCTGATTGGTTAATAATTTTGGTTAATCATGCAGGTTTTTAATATCAGGTGCTACAAAGAGCCGCAGGAGTCACATTAAAGAGCCACCTGTGGCTCACGAGATCACTGGACTAGATGATCACAGTGGTCCTGTCTGACCTTATAATGTAGGAGAGCACCTCTCTCATCTTTCCTCCACAGAACTGTGGGACTGATTTGCCGCTCTCTTATACTGGCGTAAATCGGGCATGATGCCATTGTTAAACTGGTATGAGGTGAGAAACAGGACCTTACACATGATCCCTCCTTTCCAACAGTACAGGTGAACTTAAGCCCAAATGCACAAGTAGGGAGTGGAAACATGCACAGGCTGGCGTAGCATCTCCACTGCATGCTCCTCCTACTTGTGAGCTCACAGAAGTTCCTCCGCAGGGCTACCACAATGTTGGGGAGCAGCAGCTGGATGGTTAGGAGGGGACCAGCCACCCCTTGGGACACAGAGCAGACCTCTGTGATAGAGCTGGTCAAAAACGTTCAGTCAGAACAGGCCTTCATTTGGAAAGTACTTGGTAGGTTTGGGTTTTTTTTAAATAACAAACAAAAAGAAACCCCGTAAAAAAAATCTGTTATTTCTTTTAGTTTTTCCACATCCAGCTCAATTCTGGCAACAAGCTACTGAGCTTTGTGTTTCTGGGGCAACCATTACTGTCCCCATACAACCACCACCACCGCAGTGGGGTAGCCAAGTAGCCATTGGGAAGGGAAGCCACCGGCAGAGAATGTCAACAATTCTGCAGGTTTGATTGAAATTCTCTAGATTTCACAAAGTAGCCGCGACCTTTCCTAGATCTAGAAGGCTCCCATCCCCGCATTAAGCAGGGGATGATGCAACAGCCACGCTACATTTAGAAACGCACCATATTTTTCAAGTCTCTCTCTCTCTCTCTCTCTACCCCTCCCATGCATTTTTCCATGGGAGGGGACAATCATGAAGAGTGATGAAGCTCTTGGTCATGCATGAAAAGAGGAAATGAAAATGACTTATTGGAGGTGCAGCTAGTCCTGACCCAGAACTTTGGTTTCTGAGGCTATCAAGCCCTGAGCTGTATGAAACGCTGAAACTGAAGTAAAGTGAGGAAGACAGAGAAATTTGATCTTATCTCATTCTATCTACACTATCATTAGAAACTGGAAATGCTCATCCTCCACTTGTGGAGGAAAGAATTGATTCAGTCATCTCATTGAGAAAAAACAATCAGTGTGTTAGAGAAGCCTGAAATACCCTGCGTATTTGGTTTCTGTGGCAATTCCAAGCATGGATGGTTTGCAAGGCCCTGCTGAGCATTTTTATGGGTTAGAAAATGAAAATCATAACCAGCAGGCCCCAAGAACTTATTACTAATAATTATTGGAATTCTGGTAGTGCCTAGAGGCCCCTATCAAAATCTGTGTCCTACTGCGCTAGGCCTGTACAATTATATAGTAAAAAACAACCTCTGACCTGGAAAGTTTACAATCTAAATAGACAACACAGAAATAGGATGGGAGAAGAACCCACAGAAAGGTGACATGGCTTGCCCAATTTCACACAGCAGGTCAGTGGCTAAGTTAGGACTAGGTCACTCACCACTGCCTTAACTGCTGGACCATTCTGCCTCTTCTTGCAGATCCTGCATGGAGGAATAGTGCTTGGCCATCTGATGGGAGATGAAGGGCATAAATACCAGAAGGAACTAAGACCTAGAATAAATGTTGGCTTTTGCTTAGATGACTTGAAATGTCAGGGGGCACTTTCAAAAACAGGAGCAGAGGACAGAGCCATACACAAAACTGCCCAGTCCCCATTAATATGGGTAGAAGTTGAGCAGGAGACTAAAGATAGCATATAACCCAAGTTCCAACCAGGGTGGCTAAACAAATGGCCTGCATTCAGAAGCACAGAGCACACACAACTCTAATAGAAGTTAATGGGAGATGTTGAAGTTTGGCATCTCTGACAATCAGGCCATTCCTTTAGCTGTCTCATTTTAGGTGCCCAGATTTGAAAAGTTGGCCTCAATTAATAAAGTGCAAAGGAGCAATGTTTTGTGAGCAGTGATGTTTTGCGTCATTGCTTATGGTAAAGACAGCAGTGAAATACATGTGTGAACAATGTAAGTATTGCATATGAAAGTCTCCATAGAAAGGGTTTAACAGAGGGAGTTTTACCCAAAGGACTCCCATAAGGATTTGCAGCAGCAATCACACCTGGACTGAGGGGACTGCAGAACAGACACACCTACAGTCAGAAAGGAAGTTGTTTCCCAGCTACAGGATGGGACACAGATGTAAAATCCAGGGTTTCCGCAAATGAAATTGTCTTGGTATTTTCGTCATCTCTGCTCAAGGGACAGGACTGTGCATATTTTGTGAATAAAGATAGAACAAGCAATGATACCGTGAGTCTGTGAAACTAATTTCAGCTGACCTACTGCACAGCTCCAAAATCTGCTGTCACTTGGCAAACAGACAACATCATAAAAGAGCTGGCAGGAGTTTTCTCTTGACATGACTAGGCACATAGTCTAGTCATGTTGTGCGATCAATGATAGAGAATAAAAATGTATTTGCAAATAGATGCTCTGTTTCATCACAGTTCTGTCCAGATATGTAATTTAAGCATATAAACCAATAGAGTAAGTGACAAGAACTCAGACCCTCAGCTGTGGCTGAAGTATGCACAGCACATGGGGATTTGTGCAAAGCTGGCTTTTTTACTCCTCCAATCCCCAGCCATCTGTGTGTTGCGCTGATCCCCTACCCTAGCTTAGAGCAACCTGAAGGCTGCTCTCAGTTACACCTGCTTCTAATTGGCTTAAGAGGCCTATAAGCAGCCAGTAACAGCAGGATTCATAAGATCCAGGGACATAAGGAAAACTTGGCCAAGTCTCCTTTAACCTGGCCAACCCCCCTATGCTCTACAGCACTGGAAGATTCCTCCAGCACTGGGATAATCCTCCCAGGGTTGCCTCCAGGGGTGCTGGAACAAAGGGTGGGGGGGAGGGTGCAGCAGCACCCGTTGGCTTGAAGTGGTTTCCATCAGATACAAGGTTTACAGTTGGTTCAATGGCTCTCAGCACCCCCACTATGCAAATTGTTCCAGCATCCCTGGAACCTACACCAGCTTTAGGATCACAAATTGCCAGAAGTTGAAGTGAAAAGCAGCGGCACCACACACAGGATCAGAGCCAAGATTTCTTACCTGTTTCTGGACTCACATATGATCTGTCTATTGATTATTAAAAACAGGTGCCAGCTCGCCATGTAATCATTTAAATCCTACACCAGAGTGTTTTTCAGATATTCAGATGTTTAGCCTATGGCGCACATCAAGGAATTGCTATTTTAAGATACTTTGTTACTTCCTTCTTGAATGTCGCTTCAGAGAACCTAAGTCTCCGGTTTTCTGTATTTGCACACTTGGGGCCAATTTCTATCTTGCTTACACATATACAACCCCAGGAAAGTCTGTGGAGCAGCACATGTGTAAATGATCTATTCATCCCTTTGTCATGTAAAGATATTTTAACTTTCAGTCTGAACCCCTTTAAAATCTAAATCCCTTTTGGCTTGTTACTATGCTGCCTGATAATTCTCCAACAGCCAGCATATAAAAAAGGGTATTTAAACTACCATTTTCTTGGATCCAATCTATCTAAATGCCACTGACCACAACAGCGTCTAAAATTAAACAAACAACCTCTTTTAGAAGTTAGTCCTTAATAAATATGAAATGGAAATCTACTATAAACTTAATAAGAAGGAGATAAGATATTTAATTCTTCTGAAAATATCATAGTGATCAAAAATCCCACACCAAGCCCAGCTAAAATTGACACAAATGGCATAAAATTGTTTCTGAGAAAGGACAAATCAAAAAAATTTTTTTTTAAAAAAGGTTATTCTTATTAAAAAGGAACCACATATTTATGGTATCTCTAGGGTCTAGAAGGAGACAATGATCTACAGCACCATGACTGAATGCTTTACTTTTTCCTCAAAGCTCTCTGATCAGAATGGTGTTTCCCCACCTCCACTTTGCTGACAAATGCTGATGTAAACAGCATACGTACAAAGCATGGGGGTTTTCACGTGAATCCTGTGTTTTTCCACAAAGCCTCTTACGCTGTACTTTGCTTAAAATATATATCTTCTCATTTCTGGTTAACCTACATCCCCACAGCTGTTAATGAGCTTTTAACAGTAGACTGAACCACTTCACAAAGTGAGACAAAGCCAATTTTTAAAGAAAGCAAATAGTTTGAGGGATTTGGACATGAAGCTCTTACAAAAGATCACAGACAGTTGTAGCAATGTTGATATATTAGAATGAGATTACAATATTGACAAATTACAATGGACTCCATTTAAAACACGGATCAATCTTTGTCATCAATCTTGCTAGGAGTAAAACATTTGAGATATAATACCACTGAAATCCGACCAGGAAGGAAGTAGACTTCAGAAGCTATAAACAGAATTTAACAGAAGTAGGAAGTAATTCAAATGCTCTCGCATTAGTGACGGGGTAAAAACATTTAATCAGAAAAAATGTTTAGGGTTTTTTTCCCCACTTTATTTATCCATTGGTTATTTGGAACAATAGCATGTTGTCACATAAGTCAAATACAGTCTTTAAAAATCAATTTACAATGTAATTCACGGTACCATTCTAGATATTCATTGCTCTTTTTCAAAAATAGATGTTTCTGGCTTTTTGATTGTGTTAAATACATTTTCACCTGGAGGCTTTCCTACACTGTAAATAGGGTACTCATAATTAGGTCAGAATTTACGGACAGTCCTACTAGATATCACATGCAACTTCTTATTGGATGCTTTTTTTTTCCCCCCATCCCTTCTTTTTCAACAGCTGCTAACTTTACACTGTACTCCGGAGGGGAGTATAATTAAAAGCTCCATTGAAAGCCAAGCTAAATGTACCTCTGAATTTGGATGATAGAAGATGCAACACAAAGAGCTGGATAGTTTCCCCTTCCTAAAAGGCTTAGTACATCTCTTGCACAGTTTGCAGACTCTCCTCTTGCTTTGGGTTACTGAGTACAATGGCATAGGCTGTTGCTACTCTACTAGGACAGTTCCTATTGTTTAATTTGATCATCTCCCTTTGGTCCTATCCCAACTCCTCTTCTCTCGCTCAAACACACACACACACACACACACCCCAGTACCTCAAGCTTTAGGCCCCAGTTCAGCAAAGCACTAGAATTCGGCACGTACTCACATGCTTTGCTGAGTAGGAATGGACTTAGGCACATGCTCAAACTAAGAGCTTTCGTGCTTAGCTGAATCGAGGCAGTACCATTAACAGCACTACTAGGTTGTTTGCAATGAACCTGTGAAATGCTGGCCAGCATTACCAAGGGGTTGGTAAAATCAGTGTAAGTTTGGAAAGTTTTTCTCTCCAAGGCTATAATGGGTAAAACCTGGAACACATTTTGAGAAGCTGCCTCATTCTATACTTGCAATTCCCTGCTTTCCTGGAAGGTACCACATTCCAAAACAACCAGTAGTTCAACACAATTGGCTTTTAGACTTACATGACACTAACCTATCCTAAAATATCTACCAGCAAAAAATACATGTATTTTGTAAATGAATCTACAAACTTTCAGTGTTTCTGTAGCCTTTATTCTAAAACATAGAAGCTTATGAAGCTCTGATCTTTATACTCTTGTTGGAACAATCTGACACTCCCCTCACATTCCAGAAGGATTCAAACTGATCACTTAACAGTCTGTGCCATTCTTTGCTCCTATAAGGCATCATCTGGTTCTCACTGAAGATCAATGGGACTTTCACTATTGATTTCCATGGGAGCGGGGTGAAAGGCCAACATAACTAACTTACAACCTCTTGTGTTTTCCCTAAGGAATTTAGTAATATCATCCTGAAAATAGCATATTCCAAGTCAAACTTGATGAATTGGACAAATAGTTCAATATCTTTCCAATGTGCAGTGATACTGAAAACAGATACCACTATGCCTTGATTTTAAGAATCAGAATTTCACATAAGCCATAGAAGACATCAAGGTCCAAAATCTGAAGTCAATGGGAGCTCCAGGCATCCAATAGCAGAATGTGGCCTTCAATTATTTGTATTCCCTACAATGTCTACAGTTCAGCAAAGGAAAAAATACATATTTTTCAATGCTTTGCTAAGTGAACTAACACTGAATGTTTTCATATTTCAGACTTCCTTTCTTGTGGTCTGTTCCTGCAATCTTTACATAAACAAACCTCCCACTGACTTAACTGGGCCTCTTGCCTGAGATGGCAATGCAGGATTAGGCCCTTAAGAACTAACCCTACCTCAGAAAAGAACACATCTGATCTACCGAACTGAACTGGTGGGGTCCAGAACTTGATTCTGAGAGAGGTGGTGAGACACTCAGCAAGTGAAGCAATGACTATTAGGAAAAGTTAAACCCACATCCAATACGGTATATCAGTTCATTTCTGCAGTCTTGCACACAAAAGTCCCATTGATTTCAACTGAAGCACTGCATGCTTCACTGGACTAAAATATACATAGAAGTGTGCAAATTAAAAAGGGTTGGAGGCTGACTAACGCAGAGATTTGAATGTCTATGAGCTAGAGTATTCCCCTAAGAACATGTAAGTCAGGAAAGATATTTCAAGTAAGGAAGAATATTAAAGCATAATGAACTGATAAACTGGCCTTATGGGAGGGGAGAAAAGGGGGGATATTATATCCCAAAATAGTATGCATCTTTAAGATGTATAAATTAAAGTTCCCTAGAATGTGAGTCTGCTGTCAGACCATATACAATTTTGTTCTAGCTAGAAATTCAAGCAAAATGTATTTCTAACCATGGAGAGGATCTTTCTGGCATGAGAAATATAAATTCACAGATTTTTAAGGCCAGAACAGACCATTATGATCACCTAGTCTGACCTCCTGCATAACACAGACTGTAGAATTTCACTTATATATATACACACACACACCAATATTGACAGATCTCTCTCTTTCTTTGCCATACAAAGGAGTTCCAAGTTCATTTGCATATGCAAGCAAATAATCAACATCCCAGCATTAAAAGTTGTAAATCTCCTGAAATTATACTTTTTTTTTTTTTACTTTTTAAAACAAAAGTTAGAATAGATATTCCCAGCTCTACTAATACTATGGGCCAAAGCCTGCTCTTCTTTGGACACCTGGCTCCCACTGACTTCTGCACAGGAGGAAGGGAGTTGTAGGTGCACAGCCAAGAGCAGAATTTGACCTTGTGTAAGTCAACAACTCTTTTTGTGAATATTTACCAAATCTATACAAATGTACCTTGGAAATCTATTTCATGTTACATATATGTGCCAGTGAGAATGACCACCAAAAAAGAATCATATATGAAAGAATAATTATCAAAGATTACAGTTATTTTCTCAAAAACCTGTTTTATTCTAGGGTCTAGATTCAAGTCAATGGTCCCACCTGCAACACAGACAGCAAAAACTCCCAGATCTAGAGATTGTTAGAGAGAAGTATCAGTTGCCTGCTGACTCTGCAATGTTAAATGACCACCCTTCACAATGTACTACCCCAAATACACCATCTAGAGAACTCTTCTAAGTGCTGTTGTGAGTATCAATCCACTAACAGCAGTAATGACGACAAAATTCACTTTGAAGAGAAATGTCAGGCATTAAAAATATATCTCTCATTAGGACTGGATTTTTTAAAAAAATACACACTGAAACTTTCATAGAAGAATATAGGCATAAAAAGTTTACCACGCTTAACAATCTAAATTCTTAACCACTTACATATGTAGCTATTCACAACATAACATTTATGGATGCCTAGGCCACTTGTGTGCCATCTTTCCCACAGTAGCTACAGCTTCATGCTGGGAATACTGCCAATATATTTCCCTGCCCTGAGATTTGTAATCACAAATAAATAGCTCTGCAAATATCATAACATTGTAAACTCTGAATTTAAGTCTTCAGCAAGAAGTCATCCTCAAACCATGGAGAACGTTTAAACAATGTAAACATATCAAACATTTTGTCAGTTTTCACAGTTATCCCCAGCAACCGCAGAATCTATGTGAGATGTATCATCCAAATCTTGAAGCCTCATCGTTTCTATTGTACAATACTGTTGTTCTAGTTCGTTTTCCAGTCTCTGAGACTTTGTTTTCCTGAATAAATCCAGCTGTGATTTGGATCCCCAAAATGTGAACCAGCTCTGTTCTTCCAATATGCATCATCTTTACAAAGCCTTAAACACACTCCTTCTGAGGAGATTATTCTTGAATGGAGGAATGGCGAATAGATCTGTGGTAATCCTCTGGACTAGTGACATGTTCTGGTAAATCATAGCCTCTCAGAAAATGTCCACTGTTTTGTTGAGCAAAGTAATACAGCTGCCTTGCAAACATTGGCTCAACCTTAACAACAGATAAAAATGTTATTGAAGCGTGATAGCATGTTCCATATCATTCGTATTAGCTATTTACTCAACAATAAAAAGATGATAAAAACAAGGCAAAATAAAACAGTTCCGCATACCAAAATGGGAAGAAAATGCACTCTGTTCTCATTGAGCTCTGCCTTTACTTCGACTCCAGATTTTTAGAGCTAGCTGCAGTTTTTGCTGACAAATACGCATTGCATAAAGCATGCGTTTGCAAATGTAGTCCATCATTCTATCAGCTAGCCCATATGTGCATGTGATGCCTGATTTGTGTGTGCCCATATTTCCATGGCTAAATTAGGCACGGCCAAATGCAGGCCCAGTTTCACATGCTCAACTTTAAAAATCTGTCCCTTATTCTGAGTCCAAGTCGAACGTTTCTAAAATTAAATATTATTGTATGTCCATTCATCCCTAACTGTATCTGTTCAGCATTGCACTGGTCTAATATGGCCAAGCTTTGGGGCAATGTTTGAGAGGCTCTACTCATTTTGCTTGTCTCACTAGCCCCAAGGGTCCCCAGCTTTGCACAGTGCCTTAGTTAAATACTTATCTTTCACTCCTAGGATATAAAAACTTGAGACTTATAAATGGGGAGCAAATATGTTCTGAGAAAAGATCGGAGATCCTCTAAACATTTAGACACATCCCTGCATAGACATCATTTTATGGAGGAAAGGTGTGTGGGTGGCAGGAAGAAGAACATGTCCTCCCTAGCTTTCAGCTGACATCGGCAATGGAAGAAGGGACAGGAGTTTGAGGATGATGCTGACTGCAGCAATTCAGCAATCTCTCTCCACTTCCCCTCATCAGCTGTTGGACTGGTCATCTGGACAAGAAAGAGGCAGCTGCAGGTGTAGCCACCTGCTGCTAGGGGCTGTTCTGGGCCTCTGCTGGCCAGTCATGCAACTGGGTGCTCTATGGAACCTGCTTAGTTCCCACCCTCCCCATCCTCCACCAGTTCCAAGTGCAGAACAGGGGGACCCAAGGCAGAGGCTGAGCCAATTCCAGAGAAGAGATTGAGCTGCCAGCCAGCATAACGAGGTTCAGGTATGAGGCAGAGCGCTGGAGGAGAGAACAAACTCACGGAGAGGTGGCGGGGGGGCAGTGGGCACAGGCTCAGAGGAGATTCTTTGTGGGCAGGGGGGAGAATATGTTTGCGGAGAGGAGGGCTGTGGGGAAAGGGTACTTTGAAGGGGGACCAGAAATGTAGAAAGCAGATGGGAGGAGAGGGAATGGTTGGGAAGTGGGAGGTGTTATGGATGGTGGAGAGAATTTGTACTGTTGAGGGCCTAAGTAAGGAATGAGGAGGCTTGAGGTCCAATGATATCCCTGATCTTTGCTCAAATAATTACTCCATTGTATTCCTGGCCCGATACTCCTCAGCAATCTAAAGATCCAGGACTGATGTCTGGGTTAGGGGGGCATGTGTTAGAGTTACAGGATCTCTGAATGGGAGAAAAAGCTAACCTGACCATGGGAACATTCATTCAAACAGAGGTTGTCTGGGTAGGACAGCAAACTGAACTTGAAAGCTGTAATCCTCCACCCAGGGGAACCGCAGGGCAATGCGTTGAAGGCAGATAGTGGTAAGGAAGTCACATAACTAGTAACGGGAAGGTAATTATTTTATTACAAAAATCTATGGCCCATCACCTTAGCATCTGGATGACTTACAAAATTAAACACCAATATTCTCCCACCTCGGAGATAATGGCAATAAACTAAACCCTGCCTCTAACGGGGGCAGGGAGACCATGGATACATCTCCATTGTGGAGCTCGGTTTTTGGAAAGCGGCTGGTCCCAGCCTCCACTATTGCTTACACTGGTGCAGCTGCATTACTGCAGGGAAATGAATGTAAAAGTAGGCAGTATAGCCAAGGCCCAGGGTTACGAAGTTTCCTGCCAAGAGGTGAAGCAAGAGTAACCCAAGCAGTAAAGCCTGCCTCAGTCTGCTATGGCATTTTGCGATGCAGACACCAGAGGCCAGGGGGGGCGAAAGGGGAGAGGGGATCTCTGAGAAAGCTTAGATGCTGCAGCACACTTATGTGGCAATTTTAAAAGAATCCACAATTATGCGCCATGTAATCATATTCTATGCAAGGCCCTGCTTACCAGTGTCACATGGCTGACACTAGCCAAGCTGTTCCATTTAGCTCATAGTCATAATCACTCCTCTAAAGTGCTTTCATCAGTAGATCGCAAAGCGCTTTACAGAGAAGGTCAGTCTTCTTATCCCCATTTTTACAGATGGGGAAACTGAGGCACAGGGCAGGCCATGACTTGCCAGCGGGCTAATGGCAGAGCAGGGAAGTGAACCCGGGACTCCCAGCCCAGTGCCCTATCCACTAGGATATACTGCATCCCTCACAGCTTACTGATGAGCGGTAGAGAAGGCTGCCTGGCAGATTCACATACCCTTCATTTTAAACTAAGAAATGAAATAAATCATACTTACGTGGGCTGTAATTAGCTTCCTCTGTCTTTGTGGGTCTGGAAATTCCTCTCCAAAACACAGAGCAACCTGGAATCTAGGCAATGGACGTCCATGGTGGGCAAAAGCTTGCAGTTCTGAAGACAGAAAAGATATGTTCAGAAAATCCTCACCATCAATGGCTGAGTTCCAGAGTTAGTAATGAAGGACCTTGGAGCAGAACAGCAAACCACAGGAGTGATGAAGAGGTTCTATTGGACAACTGGCAAAAGTGATGACAGGGTCTAGCAAAGGAAAAGCGAGTCTGGGAGAAAGGAGAGATACCAGCATAGAAAAATGATCTTGGAGATTTTGCCACAGATCAGGGAGAGAGCAAGGGACAAACAGCTGAAAACTTTGTCGTTCCCCCCCAAGAGCTAAGAGACTCCAATTATTCTATCTGTATTGCATTTTGAGTAATTTCATATAAACAGCAATTGGGATTTCCTTAGATTCATACTTGTGTTTGGCTTAACAACAGAAACTTCTGAAACATTCTTCAGGACTTTTGAACTTTGCCAGTTTACATTTCTCCTATCCACACATACATTTCAGAAGGATCATGCTATGTAAGTCACTTTGCACGGCTTCTTTCAAAAACAATGGTGCTGAGATGTTGCAGGAGGGCCTGTCACCCTTAAGAGTAGAACTGAGATCAATTTAAGTAACAAAAGTGTTTACTCTTTGACTTCAAACTACAGTTCTGTGCCCACTACTTGTGATGACTGAACATCAGAAGATGGATTGTTCATTAGAAAGTAGATGGCGAATCTCAGGACTAGCTTACAATGCAGCTGGTACACCTTTGTAAGGGTTTGATCTTGCTCCCACTTAAGACAATGGCTTCAGTGGGAGCAGGCCCAAACAGAACCATGTTAGTGTCTGCATATTGTCCAATCACCCTCCCCACCTCCCCAGGTCATGAATCCACAGGAATGTAATTAGTTCAGATCACATATTTTCTGGATGGTTTGCCTTTCTCTTCTACTACAGGAGCCAGGGTCCCAGAGATCTCATGTCAGCTCTTTCTAAGGGTATGTCTACATTGCAATCGGAGGTGTGATTACAGCGCAGGTAGACATAGTCTCACTAGCAGAGCTAAAAATAGCAGTCTGAATGAGGCTGCATGGGCTAGCAATGCACATAGGTCACTGGGGTCCCCAGCATGCTTGTATAGTCCACAGTGGAGCCCCCGCTACCACATCAATGTTGTTATTTTTAGCCATTTTAGCACAGGGAAAGCCAGTGTGGGTCTGACTACCCAAGCTGCAATCACATCTCAGATTGCAGTGTGGACAGACCCTTTGAAAAGGGCCAGGCTCAAATACAGCAACATCTGTGACCTTTCATTGCCCCCCTCATCCTCTTTTCCCCTCTCTGCTGCTGTCACTTGTTGGGTCATGTCTATTTTTATACTGCAAACTCTGTAGAGAAGGCACTTTGGGTGAAATCCTGGCCCCACTGAAGTCAATGGGAGTCTTGCCATTGTCTTCAATAGGGCCAGGATTCCATCCCTTTTATTGCTCTGTAAAGCACCGAGAATTCTTTAGGCACAACATAACATCATCAAAAATGTTAGTTTATAATACAGTACAACAAAAATCTCAAAAGGTTGCAAAGTGCAAATTTGGTTATAGTCATCCTCTGAGTCTAACAATAACAACAACAACACCACCACCATATAGCTCTTATACAGCACATTTAATCCACAGAGTTCCAAGCACTTTACCAAGGACATCAGTATCATTATCCCCATTTCACAGATGTGGATACTGAGGCACAGAGAGGGGAAGTAACTTGTGCAAGGTCACTCAGCAGGACAGTGGCAGAGTCAGGAATAGAACCCGGGTCTCCTGAATTCCAGTCCACTGCTCTAGTCACTAGGCAATACTTCCTCTCAAATATATACATATTTATATTAGGCAAATTATTCCCTGTATGGGGGAGATGTTTACAAGAGGGCTCCACTTGGGTTAAAATACATTGCTCTTTGACGCAGGGACTGTTTCTTATTCTGTGTAAATGCAGTGCCCAGCACAATGGGGCACTAGTCTCAGTTGAGACCTCTAGTTTCTACTGAATAATAAATTATAATGATTCATGATAAATTAATAATTAATGCAAAGAGAACTGTACTCTATTTGTAACCAAAAAAGTAGGTAATGTTCTCTCTATTTCCAACAAGCCCTAAAACCACTCACAATCTGCTAGGAGCAGAGGGGGAGACTTTCAGTTCTTCGGTATGATCATCCAACACTGCATTCACTTAGGCATCATAAGAGAGGGCAAGGAGGAGTCTGGGTTCAGTGCAACTCCTGATTAATTAGTCCCAGTGTTACTACTGAGGAAAGAACCCCATCCCTACCCCTCTTCTGTCACAGAATTTTACTCAGGCCTTGTCTACACTACAGGGGGAGATCGATCTAAGTTATGCAACTTCAGTTGTCCAATAGAACCCGTTGACTCCCCTTGCGCTTCGTGTTCAGATGGAATACAGGAGTTGACGGGAGAGTGATCTGCGGTAGATATAGCAGGTCTTCACTAGACCCGCTAAAGCAACCACCGATGCATCGCACGTCAATTCCCCAGTAAGTGTAGACAAGCCCTCAGCCTCAGTGATTCTCAAAGTATTGCAGCATAATAGCCCAGGGAAGAGATGGGATAGAGAAGGGAGTTGGCCCACGAAGGGTTTCAGTAGTAAGAATAATCTTCAATATGAAAGAGAGTCAGAGAATCCCAGCTCTTCCAAACGCATGAAAGCATGTACTTGAGGTCCTCTCACTGCTCTGAGCAGATCACTTCACTCTTCAACCAGCTCCACTGACTCCTTCTCATCTCCTGGGTCAAATTCAGACTTCAACTGCCAGGTTTTCACATGCCTCCCCAAATCAGGTCTCATTTCCTTCTATTCTAGCTCCAACTGACTACTCCTCTCCACCCATGCCAGCCTCCTTAACACCCCTTCATACCCTTTTCCTATTCCAGTCTTTGAGCCTTCTCTAAATTCTCTCCCTCTCCTGGTTTGCTAAAGTCATCACTCAGATCTCTCCATAAGTAACCCAGACATTAGAATCTGGTCACCCCTGTACTATATGTCAGAATCACAAAGCCCAGTCTTTCAGTGAGTCCCACATGGACATATCCCTGCACCAAGACGCAGCCATATCAATTAAAGGCCACAGCCTTGGTTCTGCACCTTCCTTCTGTGAATTCTTTGGGACATGCATCTCTTAGTAGAAGTCCTGAGTGTTTCCATCCCCTAAGGGTCTGATTTTCTGACTGTCCACACCCAAATGCGCACTTAACTTGGGAGCTCACTAACCAAAATTAATATGTAGCTATGGTATGTGCATGGCACAATAGTCACTTAAGAAGTTACCTGGCTAGCTACACCCCAATTTGCACACACTATTGTGATAACTGCACACAAATTAAGCATGCAATTGTGCACATGTTTGCACATGCATTTGCACGCACATAGCTTAGAAAACTGTGCTTAAGTTAACCTTGGGGAACAGGCTTCTAAAAAAATACTGCCACATATCCTGTGAATGGTTTGGAAGAGCCAGATTAAATTTAAAGTGGCATCTGAAAAAGGAAAAGGGACTTCCAGGCACATGATTGCAGGCATAACGATACATCTTACAATTAGCATACAATAGAAGTTGTAACCCTATAAATTCAGCTCAAATTCCCCTTTTTAACTGTCAATTTTCATATCCTCTTCAGATGTGTGTTTAAATGCATATGGTGCTTGATAATTCTGCTAGGATGACACATCAAAGCCTGGAAAATGAAGTATTTTCAAGGCAGTGGCTCATTTGGGGTATTTTTTTAAAGCATTGCATTATTTTTCTACAAAACTGTAACTTATACCAATATATAGGTCTGAAAGGCAGTAAGGTGTCCTGCACAGAAGGGAGACCATGCCACTCTAAAACTTAAGAGCTCAACTGTAGCTCTGCCACAAGCCCTAGTAAGGGGCAGCATATAATTGTGCTGCTTGTTTCTCTACTTCCCCGCCCCTGGAGTAAGGGATCTGTGTCCACCCCTTTCCCTGGAGTAGGTTGCTCACCTCTCTGTGTTACCTCAGAAGTGCTGGTCAGCATCTTGGAAATTGGAGCCAAGACTCCATCCACTCTCTTCCCAGAGCAAGAGTATCCCTGTGAGACTGTTTTCCCCTCCATTCTGCTACCCACAATACAAATAACCAGCGCAGGGGGTTGAGGGCATGCCTTCAAACATCTGACTCGCTTTTGCAGGTGTGTTGGGCAAGTTACAGTCTTGCCCTATGCCATTAGTTAATAGGATGATTGTTGAAAGTCAGAGTTTATAAATTCACCCCACAAATATTTTCCCATGTATTTGTTTAAATACAGACACACGCACACACCAAAACACAGATTTAAAAAAATATCTGTTGGGATTAATACTTGCTGATGTTTAAATACTCTGGGTCAGATTTCAGATACACACCGGCATAAGTCTGGAGTAAATCAACTGAAGACAATGGAGTTACTCAAGATTTACACCATTGGATCCAAAATCAGAATGTGGTCCCATCTACTATCCAATCTTAAGAAGGACTATTTTGTTGGGCTCCTCCCACTCAGTATAAAGTGACACAGGCCTTACCTTGTCCTCAATTGAGCATGAGTGGTTCCCATTACTTTCAATGGGAGCCACATAAGTGTATCAAAAGCAGAACTAACCATAGTAATATACAAATAAAACACTATTCCAAGGCTGTGCTCTTCTAACACCTACATATAGGGCCACATCCAGAGAGCAGCTGAGCACCTGCGTCTCCCAACCACTTTGGTGGGAGTAATTTAGTGCAAAGACCCCTTCAATAGTGCCCATCTGGAACCACAATGACAGTGATTTGGTGACATTTATATAGACAACTTGTAACCTAAATTGAGAATTACCTGCTAAAAATTGCTGAGTATCAAAAAGTTTGCAGGTCTGCTCCCTTTCCAGTTTATTTGGCCTGTCACTGCATATCGCCAGAGGTCCATCCCAGTAGATCCTGCTTTGACAAAGTCTCTTAGCATAAAGCCCATCAGGTGCCATCCAGAGTATTACTCCTCGTTCCAAGTGGCTCAGTAATTTTTCTATGTTTTTCCTCTGGCCATTATCTTCTGGATAGGGGAAGATAACTTGATCCAAGCTGCTGACCTCATAATTTTGGGCATGAGATATTCTACAGCCTTCGGGACTTGAAGTCGTCATCTCTTTCACTAGTATTTCACGGTAATATAGACAGATGTGTAGTCGACAGTCTGTAAGTATATTTCAGAAAAAAATTACTGCCGTTCAATATTGTGAGTATTTTGCATTATATCGCAGTACTATTAAGGCCAATGGGCCAGATCTTGCAAGGTACTATGCATCTATCATTTCTAATACTCAACATCTCTCAGAATTTAGCCCTGATTTAGGGAAAAACATAGATTGAATTGAAATAATGAAATATGGAAGCACAAACTCCAACACCAGCTTCTACCAATACAGGCCCCTGGAGTGGGAACCAAATAGCCTGTGATGCAGACAGCAGAAAACATGCTAGATATTAATGCCTGGCAAGCCGCATATTTTCATTAGTGGGGGGAAAAGTGTTTGTACTTCACAGGTATAATTGGAATTAAAGCTCAATCTCAGTATGTTCTCCTAGATACATCAGAAAATAGCTATGCTTCTCTCAAGATGTTGTATATAACCCTGTTAAGCAACTACCCACAAGACTTGCAAAAATGCAATCAGTTGCCTAATAGAAGTGCTCTTTGGCTGAAACGCAGACAAAATTATATTTGAAATCTTAGGCATAGTTTTAAAATGGTCACTTGACACAGGAGAGTGATTGTTAAGGGCTTGATCCTGATGCAGGGCTGTGCAAATAGACCCATTTGGGACAGCAGCCCTGCTCAGGAAGGGCACTTAGGTGTGTGCTTAACTCTTGTCATTTGCCAGCCAAGTCTCTCCCCTTAATGTTGCATTGTCAATTTCTCCATAGAATTTCCATTGTTAGTTTAAAAACCAAACTAGCTCCTACACTTCCACATAAGGAATAAAATAAAATAAAAAAATCCCTTAAGTCTGAACGACTGCAAAGCTGGCTGAACAGATTTCTTTTCAGAGAGTGAAAGTGCCATCACCAAAGTACCGAGAGGTTTTATTTTATCAAGGATAAATAAATGCTGCAAATCCTGATGCAGTCAACAGAGAAGACAGAAAAGTATCCATAGGACAAAATGTTGAACAAAGGAATAGTATTTTTCAGAAAGGATATGGTCCAGGTTTAAAAAAAAAAAAACTCTAGACCTCTGAATCCAAAAGCAATATGGCTTTGTGGTGAGCTAAAGAAGAATCTGCTTCCCCTGTCAGCAGTTGTCCTATCTGACGACTCACTGAGGAGCAACCAAGAATTTGTTTGAAATTTGCTTGAAAGAGCAAAGTACTTAAGCGTGTGTAACTGTAAGCACATGAATGATCCCATTGATCTTAATCTGAGTTACAGATTTCAGTGAGGACTACTCAAGTGCTTAAAGTTCCACATGTGTTTAAAAATCTTGCTGAACTGAGGCCTAAGTGTATATGCACAGAACTCATTTGGAAAGGAAATGTCACTTTCACTGACAAAAGAAGTCCCTATAAACAGTGAGTAAACATTTACTTGGAAAATTATAAGGAGAGCCTCCTGGATGGTTCACCATGAAAGCCTGGTGTTATAGACTTACCTGATAGTGCAAGAGCTTCACCAGACCTTATGCTTGGCTCTATTGGGATCCCAGGAGTCTGTGACTCAGATGGTGCACAAGCATAAAAGGTTCCAGTCACCTGACAACCTGTTTTCACAAAAAAAAGTCAAATGATATCTAGCTATCTAAAACCCAAGAACAAATTTAGAGTTCACAGCTCTATCAAAAAAACTCATGTGAGAGTTTCTGAGCTCCAGCTCTATCAAAAAAACTTCCCCTTGACCAAAACATTTTATCCACTCAAAATGTTACCTAGATTTTTCTTATTTGGATTTTTTAAATGTTGTTCTTTTACCTAACCATATCAGTGCATATTATTCTCCCACAGAAATAATCTGCATTTTAACTAGATAATGGTGTTCTTGGAGGCTGATGAAAAATAATCCATTCATTCTCACAGGTCTTAAGGAGTTTTATCAAAGGCAACTCAAATATTCAAAGTCATTATGTCTTTAATTGTGTTAAAGAAAGAAGGTAATTGTAGGGAAAAGAGATTCTCCTGCAGTAGAGTATTTAATACTACAGCCAACATTAGTCCTTTCCCAAGCTATCCCTTCCTGTGAGTGAGATAGTATTGAGGCAAACTGAAATGTGATAACACCTGTCCAAAGTCCCTTGAAGTCAACAGGAATCTTAGCATTGACTTCAAAGGGCTTTATATCATAAACATGATATTTATGACACAGGTAAGATACACTACTCTTTCCCATAGACAGATTTGACTCTTCTCAAAGCTACTTCACTTTTTAACTTATGCCAAGGGCATATGTGAGTGACTGTTGACAAACAAGACAATCCAGTGAGTAAGCCACTATTGCCTAATTCTCTGATACAAGCTTAATGCAGCACTTAGACCCTGAGACAGGAAAACACTTGAGAATTTGTTTACATCCATCCCTATACAAAAAACACTTAAGCATGTGCTTAATTTTAAGCATATGCTCACATCCCATTGATCCATTAAGCACGGGTTTAAATGCTTTGCTGCATTGGGGATTTACTCATTTTCTTTTAAGCCACAGAGATAGAAGGCCCTCCATTTCTTGTGTCTTCAGAATGCCCACTGACCCCAAGAAACACAGGATCAGGCCCTAAATGACCCATGAAGATACAATGGGGGGGAAATGATGCTTTGGAGCAGTGACTTTTTAAAGAACAGCCGTAATGATAAGCATAAGACTGGGAGTTGAGGGAATGAAATTGAAACCAGGAAAAGCAATATTCTTACTAAAGCATGACATAATGTTCATGGTTACTAACAAAAAACAAAGCAAAAATATCAGTGATTTTTTTAATATGTATATGCTAAGATTCTATCAGGTAAACAACAGAAAAAGGGGAAGAGATACATTTTCCAAAGAAAAATTACAGTTATGGTCTTCTTTCTAGTATTAGAAAATGCCATGTTTCTTTTATTCTCTATCTTAGCATTTTCTAGACCAGTCTTTACCATGGTATCTAAGAGTTTATGACACTTTTCATTTCAAAATTAGTATTTCTATTCAGCATAAGTTCAACAGATCATAAGGACCAAAACCTACATTCACTACCCCATTGAAGTAACTATTGCATGGGGTGTAAATCAGGGCAGAATTTTATAAAATTTCAACTAAATAGCTCGTTTGTCTAAATGTAGAGTGTTCAGTTGTCAGTAGACAAGTGTAAACAGAAGTTTATTTCATTGCACTTAAACCATGAAAGGACTGCATTTTGTAGTTCTGATACCCTGTGCACTTTAAGTATTCTTTCCTCATCTCATCTTGGACTAAGGATTTTTCTTTTTTCAAGATTATTCTCATATGGATGTGTGGGGAGCTGTACTTATGGAGCAAATCCCTGCATACTGAAATGAGCATATATCCCTTGAGAGTCTGAGCCTGCAGCCATACATGGCACAATGGATGATCATGTGAATAAGACACTAGACTGCAACTCAGGAAATCCGGGCTCAATTTCTAGCTCTTCTACAGACCTCCTATGTCACTATGGAACAAGTCACTTAATCGCTGTGTACCTCAGTTCCCCACATAAGGTAAAGGCTTCCCTACTTTGCATATTTTTCAGGTGCTCAGATTCAGTGTTGCCAACTCTAACGATACTTAGTATGCTATGATTATGTGAGAATCTCAGCTTTCCTTTGGGGGGGGGGGAGTAAGTTTCTAACCTACATGATTGTGGAGAAAAATGTGAAAAATGTGAACCATAGAGACTTAAAAATCAGAAGGCAAATAAAAAAGTATCTATACATAGGCATTTATAAATCATTTGGGGGGGGCTGACTCAATTTTTGAATGCTTGGGGTTGGCAATATGAGTTGCTATGGTGATGACTAAGGCTCCTAGGCACTACAGTAAAACAAATAAAGGAATAAAATAAAATAAAACAACAATAAGTGTCAATATAGATGATAGTCAGAGGTGCTGATCCCCTGCAACTATCGTTGAAGGATGCTCAGAACTTCTGAAAATCAAGCCATCAATACTTATGTCACTGAAGCCATGAATAACAAATATGAAATCTGTGGTCCTTCTATGGTGGTCACATATTGTCTCTTTAGATTAGCAAGCAATTGACCTCCAAGGAGATGTTCTTACCGTTTTCACAAGCAGGACCTTGCCAATGGTGACTGCGAGCTGCAAAAGGAACACTTGGGCATTGGTAGGGGATGTCAGGGTGTGGCTGCTCTGGGGCAAAATCTCTCCAGTTACGTTCATGAGGTACCATGTAGTTTGACACCTGTTCATTTAATGAGACATTATTTTATTTGGCTGTAATCAGAATTGATGCTACCTTTCACATAATCTCCCATATTAGAAAGTTTCCTTAGTTCTGCATGAGTCCTTTTGTTATTTGTTCTCCCATATCTCTTGTAGATCAAAATATCACACAGACCACCTGGATGATATTTTGCCAAAGAAGGAGGCTTTCAAATGAGATGCATGTCACCATTAGTGTAAACTATAAACATGACAAAATTATAATAGGCAACTGGAGCACTGTTGCAAAACATTACTGTAGAATATCTATGTTTCATCATATGTTCAATTTCTGGCACCAGAAGTACTAGGGCAATAAAACCATTTTTACCAAAAATATCTAACAAAACAGAGCTGTAATTCACATTTTAAAAAATCCCAGATGGATCAGCTGCCCTGTGGTTTCACATGATGAAAACATTGCTTACAGATTTCTCAGTTTCTTATAAAAAAGTCTTTTTTCCAAGCAGAACTAAATGGTGCTAGACCAGAATAGAAAGACTTGTAGTATAATACAGTCCTGCAAAAATTAGCTCAATCAGCACCCAACAAACAAGCCAAAAAATAACACATGACTGATACTGTACCTGAGCCTGTAGTGAAGTATAAGGAGAAGTCATTGTGTACGGATGGTTCATCATTATCTGTTGATCCTCTAGGCTGAGTTGTTTTGCTCCTATATACATGATGAGGATAAAAACAAAGTTACTAACCATATCTTAAAGAAACTTGAAAATAATCTACTGCAAAGGAACTTGTACAAGGGACCATCCTTAATAAGCAATCTCCTCTCTTAAGAGACCATCCTACACCATCCCCAAACACACAGGGCTTGATTGTGCTTTAAACATACTGGCCTACAGTGGGAGTGATGCAGAGGGACCTTTAGGAGGAATTCTGTCTCCCAGAGCTTCCCAGTGCATGAAGAAAGAGCACCTGCTGCTCACATCCCTTCAAGGGGTGCAGCATATTTCCTTTATGTGCCCATCCAGCTCTGATAGCCAGTGCATAGGAGGGATGACTGATGGCCCTGCCTGCTGTGTGTCCTTTTGGGGGTGTCTTGAGGGTCTAGGGCTTCTAGAAAAATAGGGGCACAAGGAAGTGCCAGGACTGTGACCATATTTGACTGCTATGCAGAGGCAAACAGGGCTAGGGAGGATAATGCATTCCTCTAACCTTGCTCACCCCTGAAGTAGTCAGGCACAATCTGGCTCATAACGAGTTCAGGTCTGCTCCACCTTTATTTGAAGTCCACTTCCATTAAGCAAACTTATTTTTGCCTGTCTCTTGAGTGGTCACTTTATTTAAAACTGAAATAGAGGCTGTACACCCAAGATTAAGCCCTCCAGTAATTTACATACTGCATGCCTGTACCTCCAACAAAGGAGTATTTTTTCCAAATGCTACGACTCAGACTCCCACCATTCTTTTTCAGGCAATGTAAGTCAAAGGGAAATTTATCCAAATACGACGTACTTGAGTATTGCACATCTTATTTATTGTATTGATTGCTACCAAGTCTGACACGAGTGACTGTATGGTTATACATGACACGAGTGACTTACATCTCTTCAGTTTTTGCACACTGGAAAATGAGACTTTAAATGTATGTAAAATCTAAGATGGCCTACCTTTTTTAGCTCCTTCTGGCACTATTCTGTACACTTTATATGGATCAGAAATATCCAGCTGGCTTCTCTCAACCAGTTCTTCAAAGTCATTGCTCTTGTTCAAAGCACACCGTAGCCTTGTCTTCCAAGTTGGGGGATCTGGTTTATCAATGCCCTCTCTGAACTTTCCTTTAAAAAGAGCCCAAGCCTGAAAACGTTTCAAATGTTCAAAAAGAAAGAGAAAAAAAATCAAACTTTAGGTATACAATCACAAAAGCTGAAATAGCACTTGAGTGGAGAATTTATTCCCTATTGGTTTACGCTAAAGTATATGGGAGGTGGTTTCTTGGTAAGGTAATAAGAACAGTATTGAAGGCAAGAGAAAATAGTAAGAGAAAGAAGAAAAGTGACAGGGTGGATGCAGAAATAAATGTTCTTTAACCATACAAATGTTTAACATTACAGTTGGAGAAGGAAGGAAGGGGGAAAGCGTTCCATATGGACTCTGGCAACCCTGTCGTTAAAATAAAACAAAACCAAACCCGAGAGGGCTTGCTGTGGAAAGCAATTAACTGCATTAATTCTGGGAGAAACTGCACAGCCTCGCTCCAGGCAACAGCCAGTAACCAATGCGCTTGAAAAAGACAGACCTACGCCTGCCCTGACCCAGCTCCCGCTGAAGTCAATAGCAAAACTCCCATTGGCTTCAACGGTGCGGGCTGGGGCCTCGGTGGGTCCTGGCTGAAAGGAGCTCGGAGTTGGAGAGCAGGAACCCCCATTGGCTCAGCTCGGGTTGTTGTTCAAAGCCACGTCCTGCCAAGGGGAGATAACCCACCACCCCCGTCTTCTTGCTAAGGACTCGATCCCTCCTGTCTCCCACCGGCCAGGGGGGTCGGGGCTGCAGGACGGCCAGAGACACGCCCAGAAGGCGGGTGAGTGGCCCTTGGCCGCCCCCTACCTTGAAGAGGGCGGCATCCTCCTCGCGGTTGTAGTCCTGCTTGCCGGCGTGTTTCCAGGGGATGCGGAAGATGCTCTTCTCGTCGTTCTCCCACACCAGGCCCGGGTACTTGCCGCTGTCGATCTGGTCAATCAGCCACTGGCGGAGCTTCCCGTTGCCGCAGCTCACCGAGCTCATCCCGCACTCGCTGCTCTCCAGGTTCATGCCACGCACCCGCTGCTCGCTGCACACGCCCGGGCACCAACTTGCGGAGGGGAAGGGGGGCGGAGGGAGAGGAGGAGAGAGGCGCCCGCTATTAAACCACGCGCCGGAGTTCGCAGACCCGCCAGCTGCAGCCTCAGGCGTGGGCTGGTCCGGGCTGCTTAACTTTGTGCCCGGGCTTGAGCCTGGGAGAGGAAAGAGAGAAAGTTCCTCTCCCCGCTGCACAGCAGCCAGGGGGCCCATCAAGAGCCTCTTCCCGGCGGGGTGAGTCGGGCAGGCCCGGCCCTTCAGAGCTACTGCGCCCTCACTGCAGGGATGCGCTCCTGGGCACAGGGAGAGACAGCGACAGACGCTGTATTTATCTCTACCTGCTCCTCCCGCGCCTGTGTGTGTGTTTATGAAACAGATACTGAGAGTATAGCTGGGCATGTGTTCATGTATACACCTGTGTTCATATGTAAATACTAACCCCCCGGCACTGCTTTGAAAACCTCAACCACAAATAGTCATAAATAGCGCCTATGATCTCTAAGAGTGCGTGTGTGTGTGTATATATATGCACACACACGGTGTATGCATACATATGATGCTAATTCACAAGTCCGCATAAGAAGATATATTTCAAAACCATACATGGAGGACATAATATATTCTACGTGTGTGTATCTATAATATTCACAAGCAATACCTGACTATACCAATCCCTATACCTAAAAGTCGATACAGACTGAGCTATCCCTCATACAAGTAAGCTGCTGTCATTTATCTAAAAGTGTGTAATAATCTGCATAGACACACATGCAAGATGTCTGTCCCCACAGACACGTACTGAACAGATCTAAAATTGGATATAGACTGAAAAGATCCTAAATGAAGGAAATTCACACGAGTTATGAGTGGACAGGGAAAATGTACGTGTGATGCATTTTTACACACAAAGACGCACACACACGCTGTGTAGCTGTACGTGTGTGTGGCGCTCCCTAGCTTTGCAGTTTCCCTTATGACTTCTATTCAGTGGCCAAGTTTTTGGTATTTGCGCCCACCCACTAGTGCACCGCTGCTGCCGAGCCTGGGACTTTTCCATCACTACATTGTTCTAGTGAACATCATTTCCACGCAGCTGGTGGGGGTGGGTCTGACCGACCGACCTCGGGACAGAGAGCGGAAAAGGTCATCCTGATCTCATAGCGCTAGCGACTATTTCAGCCCTCGGAGAGCTCGCTGGGCAGAGCACGGAGCGGTTCCACCTCCACTTCCCCGTTAGAGACCCAGCAGTAAAAGCCTTACTGTAACATTTACGAAAAGAGAGCGAATTGGGTTCCGTCCGGAGCCCGGGGTTAAGGGACAGGGATCATGACGCCCTCTCCGGCTCCCATTGAAGTCAACCAGGGCCTGCAATGCCAGCAGGCTCTTGGCATAGACTGGGACTCCCGGTAGCAGTGAGGACAGGTGTATTCCCGAGCCAGCATTACCGGAGTCTGGAATGGTAGTAGCAAGCCCAACAGTTTCCTATTAGCCCACTGAGCGAGGCCAGGCGCATGTGTTAACCCAGAGCTGCCCAGCTGGCTTGGTTTAGACATTAAAGAAAAATCATTTAAAAAAGAAAATGACAGGGAAAAAAATTAACTTGATGGAATCCACCGCAAACTTTTATTTTTCCTCCCTTTCCAAAATAATAGTATAGTCAGAAAAATCTGTGTCTTGCAAGACTCGTGGGCTGCTGCTGGAAAGCAGACAAGGAGAATAGGGGCCGAAGATCAAAATGTGTGATCTCCTACCAGGTTCTAGCCAGGGACAGGGTTACAGTAATTTAAGGATTGAAAAGTGTATATACACACGCACACTTCTTTCTCTCTCTCGCTATATATATATATATATATATATATACTCCCCCACCACACACACACTACTT